AAATCATTGCACCACGTGGAGACACGGGGAAAGGTCCAGTCCCTGACAAAAATGTTTGAATCACCCGAGGTCTTGGACCCCTCGCAGCGTAAAAAAGTTGAGAGAACGAGATCCTTCAAGACTATCGAAAGATTTCAGAGTAAATTTGGTAGAAAGGATGTGAATCCTGGAAAGAAGGATATCAATGTTGGAAAGAAGGAGAGACCCGTTGAGGTTGTGAGGGCTAGGGTGGAGCGGAGGGATGAGGACAGAATCAGGTTTGCCAGGAGTAATTTCAGGCCGAAGGGCAATAGCCAGGGGAGTCAGGAGTGTGTGAACAGTGTCAGTGGTACTGTGCTTGGGAATTTACTTATACGTAGGACTCACAGTACTAAAGTTTCCAGAAGTGTCAGTGCACTTGGAAAAAGACACGCAAGTGCTGGATGCTCTGAGGGCAGGGCTGAGGAGAGAGATACAGGTGGTGAGGTTGTCAGGTGGGAGGAGGGGGACGAAGAAGTTTTTGAAGAGGATGGAGATGCTGGGGTTCATTCAGGTATTTTTTTTTTACTCCTCATTTTTTAAACAATTTGATAAAAATTCACGCGTGCACGATTAATTTCGTTTTACTCACAAAATTTAGTTGTGGAGAGGGAATTCATTTTGTTTTTTCTCTCTAAAAAAAATTTTTTTTTATAAAAAAAAAATTTTAATTTTTTTTTATCAGTTTACCCTCACGGGGTGGATAATGAAGTGAAAGGGGAATTGGGAGGGAAGGGGCTTCGACCGGTTAAACCACGGGTATCGGATGAGCCAAGAAAACAAGTCTCTTCTCAACGGTTCGACGTACCAAGTGGGCCCTTTCTGGGGACCTACTTGTGTATAGCATTCGTTGGGACCACCTGCCTCGAGACATCCCAACATCAAACAACCGCCTACACTCGACTCTACCAGAATTCCCACGTTATAATTGATGGGTAATTGCCTGTACTGGGCCCACAATTCAGTCCCTTCCTCGAGAAAACGAAATGAAAGAAAACATCCGTGGGGTTCGTGTTAATTTCAAGTGACAGCGATTTTTTTTTAATCGTTTACGTGATTACTGAATTGATAAATCTATTATTTTTATTAATTTATAATGAGTCGAGGTTTTAGAAATTGGCTGGATGAATTATCGTAGGTTATTTTAATTGTAGGTCAACTGATTAATCTTGCATTTATTTTCAAAATTTCAATTGAGCGATTAATGCAGATGGTCTATTCTGAGAGTCAATCGATATCCGGCTAAACGATCATTTGACATTTTCCACCCGCTCAACTGCGTCACATTTTTTTTTATAATCAAACAACCGTTAGGGGAAATAAAAAAATACGATGAACGCCGATATTTCATTGTTCGTCGCAGCGTGTAATAGAGATGGTAGAGATAATGGGGAATTTTCCGAAGTGGGAGGGGACACTTTAACCTACCAACTTAATCCCTTCGCATGTTTCCGGGCAAAAAATGCCATTGAATTTTTTTTTTCTTCATCAATTTCAAACGAAATTGCAGCAATTGGGGATGACAGAATAGTAGCGAACCCGGGAGATCAAAAATCAAAGGGAATTCTGATTTATTTCATTTTTTTTCTGATGACTCAATCAATCTTTCCGAAAAAAAACATGCCACAAAATTTTACTCTAGCCCCATTTTGCCCAATTTTTTTTTTTTCTTTGACTTAAAACCTGAAGACTAATGATTTTCTATGAAACTATATTTTTTTCAGTTCTACCTTTTTGCATTTGCCAATACGACATAATTATTGGGGAAAAATAAATTGATGATGAGTGTTTGGAAAAATTCCAGTTCGAAACACTGATCGTGTCCCATTTTACCCCACATGTCACCCATCAAATATCAATTTATGGAGAAAAAATTCCCTTTTCAAATTTTCCCCTATTTGCTTGATAAATTAAACTAATCCTGGGGTAAAATGGGTTCGTGACCTATTTTTTGAACCGAAAATTTCCCCGTCTATTCGCCTGAGGGGCACAACAGCCTCCCCCCCTTCCCCCACCATAAAAAGCCATTAATTCATTTTATTTAACTTTCGCTCGGAAAAAAAATTCTCCCCATTCACTCAACTTTTTCCTTCTGATTCACGATGCATTTCGCGTCCGGCAAGAGAGTCATCACAAAAAACAGAGGGAGTTAAGTTGAAAAAAGGGGGGAGAGAGGGGGAGGTGGAAAAAAAAATTATGGCAGTGAAAGATTTACGATCTGGACAGTACGCCTTTATCGCATTGAAAATTCACGGGCCATTCTCAATTTCCTACGGACAATTCCACCAACTAAAGAAATCATTGGTTAAATGGAATAGAGAGAGAGGGGAATCCCCTCGTTGGTTTACATTATTGCTAACCGGGTAATGCGCAATGTGCAGTGGAATTCTGGAGTAATACAAAACGTGTTTTGATAATTCGACACGCATTCACACATTTTGTGATTTCTCTCGCCTCACCGAGAGATAAAAATCAGATAGTTGATTTTTATTTAATGGTTTTTATTACCTGTTGTGGGTAATGGGAGATGAATTTGATTAATTGACTGGAATCAATTGAAATCAATTCCACTACCGATTGCCATTAACAATAAAAACCTAAACAAATTAATAGAAAAAAATTCCATTGTTGATCGATAAGAATTATTGCTTTCGATGAATGATAGAAAAAAATTATTGAAGCGATTGCCCCCCTCTCCCTAAAAAAAAAATTCTGGAACAATGAAGTCACTCGTATGTAAACACCCGAAATCGGCACGAGGGCAAAACGATAGATAAAAAATAGTAACTTGGAACTATCGGAATGGGTCTGGGGGTTGGAGGGTGGATTTAACCCCAGGGTGTATCCGCATAAACTAGCTTTTAAGGGATCAAAATCCATCGGGTGCAACAATACCCACAAAAGGCCCCGCATTTTTGTGGATTAAAGGGCAAACTATTATTCCAACTTTTTCAATTGTCGGTAAAGGGGTAGCAATTTAAAGTCGAGCCTTTGGTAGGATAAATTCACCCTTCTCTCTTATTTAACTAATGGCGATGCAGATATGGAGATCAGGGGACGAGTTAAGAGGGTGGAGAGAATTATCGGTAGGGATTAGGAATTTATTTGAATGATGAGAATGGAAATGGGTAAAAATATTTGGATATTTTTATATTAGATTGGGGATTATCCCTTCGGGTCACTGATGGCTTTGACAAATGATCGGGTGGATTTTAAATTTTCAATGCAATATTTTTTATTTTGAATTTGCATTTTAGTCGAAATTAAATTGTTAAATCATGTACTCTGATTGTTTGAATAATTTTGTGGAAAATAATTTGAATTGATAATCAAGTGGAGGTCTTCAAAAATTTGACAGAGATGAATTGAAAGGTGAATTTGTTGCACGCGATGGATTTATAAAGGCATGTGCTCTGATTTTATGAAAGCCGAGTGCTTTCACAATTGACCAAATACTTAATTATACAGTCGAGCTGGGAATTAAATACGAATAGGTCAATTTGCTCTTGTTAGGCGTTTCCATTCGCATCTTTTTGCACCAATACTATTTATCGTATCTGCGTGGAGTTATGAAAAATTGAGGTTTATGAGTGTGCACTAGCGATTAGATTATTACACTCAGCTTTCACTGTAGTAACTACCGACTCTCACGATTTATCGACGATAAATCTTAATAAGTATCCAAATAATTGTCGTTGAATATTTTTTTTCAAATATTCAAACCTTTCCATTCAATTTTCTGGACATTTTGCTATCTCAATTTTCTTATATGGCCTTTCCACTTTTCTATTTTAATATTGGAGAAGGAAGTAGCTATTCCCTCGGTACTTTACGCGCATGAAACTGATTCTAATGTAACCACCACACGTATGCATTTACAGAATTGAGTTTAATTTCACCATTGGATTTACTTGGACTCCGTACCGGTGGGGATTTACCACGGGATACAGAGAGGAAATGAAATTGACGGGGTCGTTAATCCCCAGGCGGGACAGCTCTCCCGAGAGCTGTATGACGCGAGCCCCAAGAAAATCCCGGTCTCAGTCTTGTTACTACACACTTCTTCTGTCTGAGTCATCCCAAAGAACTGAGAGATCGTTTATCATGGTATCTTGGATGCCAGGGGAAAATAAAGGGACAAATAATTCCAATCATTCGAGTTTCCTCAGGCTTTTCCACCTCTTCAGAAATACTCCAATACCAAGTAATTGTCCATGTAATTCAACAAATTAATCATTAATTAACATTTTTTTTTTGGGGTTACATGGTGAAAGGTAAATTGAATAGTGGAATTAAACAGTCGAATAGTTTTCGTAGTTCTTATGGGGAAAATACCGAGGGACTAGCGGCTTGCCTTCTGAAATATTAAAATAGAGGGAAAAGTGGATCGATTCGGTGGAACGTAATGTGGGAAGTCTAGCTGACGACAGTATACATGAAAATAGAAAATAGTTGTCGATGTTGCGTTAACGTTACCTCTCGGTTAATTAGAAACAAAATGGAAAGTTTAATTTATTACGACAATTACCGAGGAGTTTTTCCGTCGAGAGAGGAACGTATTGAAAATGGGATTAGAAAGGAAATCGATGAATTCAAGAATTGTGAGAAATAGTGAAGTAAAAAGAATTGTATTGAGACAACCCTAAAAAAATTGCGCGATCTATTCACATGAATTCGATTTATAACGGGACGATTGAACCGGATATCCTTTGAAATTGATGTTGGCGGGGAGAAGATATCCTCGAAGTAGAGCCCCTAGAAAAAATTTCTTCTGGCAATTCTATTTCGGTCAGTAAGCGCGTGGCATGCGCTTTCCCTCATTCTTGTTTATAAATCTCAGTCTGTGGTTGTTTAATGATTCAGATGATACCTAACTCTTGATTCTGATATTTTAATGAGATCTGAGAATTTTATTGGATTTCTAAACTGCATTTTAGCTCGTGCATTCTTCTGCGGCGGTGGATCGACCAGAGAATGAGGTTTGCGGTATGCCGTTATCACGGGGAAGACGAGTGATAATTCGAGGAAAGTAGAATTCACTCACGAGCTGAGGAAATTTCAAATTTTTGAGAGAACACGATTTCACTAATTTCTCATTCCTGCCATTATCATTAGTAGGTCCCAAACGTGCATCGCCGCGCACGTTAATGAAGAATAAGTGAAGAGTAAGCATCAGTGATAAACATCAAACATAATATAATTAAATTGAACGGTTATCCGATGCTCTCCGTCATTTTGCGTCTCTGGCGGCCGACAAGATGGCGGTGAATGTCCGATAACCCCTTATGGAAAAAATAAATACGATTTATGTGTTCAACTATGAAAATGCGATATGGGAGTGATCACTAACCCTTTCTCTCATCAAATGTGCGATGAATAGTTTAAAGGAATGATGTAACCTGCAGAACGAAGAAACCATGGGATCGATGCTCTGGTGTTGTGACTTCAGTGTTTTTTATTCAGTGTGTGGATGATCTGTGAAGTGAAAATATATCTTAATAAAGCATAATTGCATATTGTAAGGAAATAGAATTGTATATTGTAGATTGTTTATTGTATATTGTAATGAAGCATACCCCTTCGCATCTCCTGTACTCTCTAATATGTAAAATTAAATTGTATCGTTTTTTAAATGAAATTTGATTAATAAAAGTTTAAAAAGATGTATAAATCATAATTATTGGTGTTATTATTATGATTCCTATCCTTATTATGATGAATCTTATGATTGGTGCTAGTGCCACCTAGAAGCGGGGGGAGGAGATTCTACGACCCATAGGAGCCGAGATATTTGCATTTTTCTGTTTGGAGCGCTGGAAAACATAAAAGCGCATATTTCGGGTTCCAGCAGGGTTCAAAT